GATAAGACAGAAAAATCTTGTCGATGGTAGCATCTGTCTTTCAATAGATCCTAAGGAACAAGCAATCAAAATGCGTCAATAATTTAGCGTATCACGTTACATGAATTATCTCCAAATTCTCTCTTTATTGCAGATTCGAAGCTCCTAGGCAGCTTGCTGGATAAAAGGTCATCTTTAAAGAAAGTATGTAACCGTTTGGACACAAAAATGGATGACTATGGAGACTATCGCGATGTTTGTTCACATTATGGTTTTGACAGGTATGAAGTGGCCGCAGATTTTGCAAATCATTATGACGGACCATCATCAGCCCTATTAGAATACTTGTCAGTTAAATATCCAAAGCTAACAGTTGATGAGTTTGCAAGTGTGTTGAAAAACGTTATACAGAGAAATGACGTTGTCGAGAGTTTAGAGGAATATGATAATGAGTAAAAATCATTTTAAAAGAGTGTCATTTTGAAGTAATTTTGAAGTAATTTAGAAGTGTGTATAATCCTTGAAAAGAAAAGCTGGACAACGTATGTATAGTCATTCCAAAAAATATAAAAATCCACAGCATAATAAATTTAATCAAAGTAAACAGTGACATGCAAAAAGAAAAAAAAAACTCAAACAAAATGAGTTGTGATTATCGGCTTTACTTACACATTCTTCAGCTTGTAATCAAATTAATTTTAAAGAGGCTAAGAAAATACCTAGATTCAAGAAAACATGATGACAGTGATCCCCATTATGAACTGACAAGTATTGTCTAGTACAATGTTTACCACCAATGACATTAGACAACTGTATCAACTTTTTTGGCCTGACATAAGTTGCAACAAGAACGAAAGGACATAATGACAATTTTGCGTAAATAGGCGTTGAATAACGAAGATCAGAAGTACACTGTTTACCACCAGTGCTTTTAGGCCACTGTTTGATGGTGAGCAAATCTTGTAGTAAATAGTGCTATACAATATTCCTCAAGGGAATACCTCGCCTGGGATATACCTCCATTATAAACCTCAAGAGTAGTCTTTCATAGATTGCATATGCCTAACAGCTTTCAATTTTGCATTCAAATTGCAACTAAAATGAGGGAATACGATAACAACTTTATGTAAATACGCTTGAAAAACGTAGATTATGGTACATTTTTTTTTTTGTAGTGTAGTTAAGTTTAGTGAGTTGCATGAACACAAATATTGTGAGGTAATAAGGTTTGAATTTTGCAATAGTTCTGAAAAGTAGTAAAGTATTTACAACCACTTTTTTTTTAATGTGTTTGTTTTGAATAAGTGCCTAGACAGGTAAAGGAGGGCATCCTGCATTGTACATGGAAGTTATCTGAGTGTAATTTAATAGAGTTATGCAACTAAATAAATGGCTTAGTCTATGTATGTTTTTTTAAAAACCAAGTTAGTTCTATATTCTTTTCTAGCTCTCTTGTTACACTGATTGAATCAGTTTTCAAATGGTCATTTTGCACCGAACAAAATGTTATTGTAGGAATTTTAGTTTTAAGCATCGTATATTGTCACTGTTATAGCACAGGGCATTTCCTTTGCAAACGTTTAGGATAGTGGCTATGTTCATATGATTATGATAGTCTTGCCACAGGCAGACCAAACTCATGTGATATACCATCGTTTCCCGGCATCTTTTGGCCAGTTTTTTGCGCGTTTGAATACGAATATAAGAATGGTCCACAGATAAAGAGAATTCATAACAATAAATTAGAGAGCTTTTGATGTCATCGTGCTAAAATTGTTAAGGTTATTAAGATCATCACCCACATCAGTCAGAGACTGAGATAGAGTATTCAGCACCAAGGTATATCATGCAGTTGGTCAGTCCTAGATCTGATAGTTAATTCTCCCCTCTAACTGCTTCACAATTCATTTCTTCTAAATAATTATGAGAATTTACTTTTAGATCAAGATTATAGCTTGATAAGTTAAAGTTTTCTCATTACCTGTTTGCAGAATAATGTATGGATATTACAGGGAGAAGTTCCATGTTTATCACTTGTGGGAGTTAAAGGGTTAATTCAAACTGATGTTCTTAAGTATTAGCTTCTTTTATATCATTAGAATGAAATGTTTCTTTGGTTTGTGATTAAAATAAATTCTGACCTTTACTGATGTTGAACACATGCAAAACAGTTTGAAATATATTAAGGGGGTAAGGTTCTGATGAAACTGTGGTACTACATCGGTGGAAGAGTATAACTGGGTAATTTAGTATTACCAACCGAGTTGATAACATAGTTTGGCCACTGTAAAGAGTTTCAAAGCCGATGTTTCAGGCATTCACCTTTTGTCAGAGTTTGAAATATATGTTTGATGAGCCACAATAGGGTTGTTTCCCTTCTTCTCCCATCCCCGCCCCCCAAAAGGATAATTTCCTCGTTTTTTTCATGTCGCCAACTCTTCACCTTTTCCACCCAGCCCTCCCCCCTTTAACAAAGCACAGAACAGAACAAGCTGACTGTTTGTTAATGTTTGTACATTTAAACTTTAAGGCCACAAACCTGAAAGGTCATTTATCTCAACTACAGAAAAAGAAATGGCTATTATTATGGTACATCAGGTTGGAGAGTTTGCCTTCCCAATGCAGAGTTGTAAACATCAACACAAACAAAATGTTACTCTGGGTTATCCTGCAGTTCTATCACATTTATTTTACCTCCCTGTCACAGATACTTTCTATGCTATGGTCAATAAGTTTAGTTTGCAGCTCATGTGTATACAGTGCTCTGCATGCATAAATTCATGAAGTAAATTTTGTCAAAAAATTTCACAGCCATAAGTTGCAAATGATCAACAATTAAAACTGGTGTAATCTTCTAATCAGGTAAAGCTACATTTCATTAGAAGGAACTTTGCAGCAATACTATCATAACCACCAGTGTAAATGTTGATCAGCAGCAAAGGTGTGCAACAAGGCAGATAGGAAAGCTGACAGCTAAAAAAATCATTAGATCAATGCCACTATCTGAGTAACTACACACCTACCCCTCTCCTACTAAAAAAAAAATACCTAGTTTGTCATCATTTGACTGCTGTTGGGTTAGGGGAAGAGTAAGTGCAAAATTGCTCAGATACTGACATTGATCCGAAAAAAAGGAAAAAAAAGTAAGATGGAACATAAATATGGTATCTCAGTAACTGAGCCACTCACTGCACATCTTCCCCTCTTCAAATGACCTAACCCAACATTAACCCAATTTTATCACTTGACTGTTGTTGGGTTAGGGAAGGCTTGAGAAAGTGCACTGTTCCACAAATACTAACATTGATCCAAAATCATTAACAAGAAGGCAGATAAATCAGCTGAAGGCTTCTATCACTTCTTACAATGGCCTTCAGGGCTTGACTTTAGCTTTAAAGTTCTGCTAATGAAGCATTGCATTAGAAAAAACAAAAGAAGTCCTCTGTGTTATGTGTCTTGATTAAAATGCTCTCTATGTCGTAACTCCTTCTTCATTTACATGTTTGACATTACTTCCATTGGCATTTTCGGTAGAATCCTTCCACTGGTGAGCATATGTTTCTGTTTCACTACTGACAGCCGCTGAAGAGAATTTTAACGATCTTGGCTCCGAACTTGATTCCTCCGTAGCTTCTTGTGACTGGGCTTTATCGCTAGACTTGGAAAACACGGCTGAAATTTTCCTGGCCACATAGCGCCCAGCTGTAACGAAACAGGGAAAAGCTGACTTGAGATTGAAGTATTTTACGAGTAACGATCGGATTCGATTTGTCTTGCATGGAATCATTAACTCATTTAATGACTTTTTTGATGTTTTCGCCTAGTTTTTTTCACATATCTCGATAATACTGCTGTGAAATTGTTACTGTCATGATGCCATAAAACTTATCCTTCACAAAAATACGGAAAGCTTGATTACGCAACGAAGTCATCGTTTGAATCCGAATTATATATCTTCGTATATCAAAGTAACTTCCCCCCCAAATAAACTTATCTGGGTTAAAATGATTTGAATAAACTCTTATGAACTTCTCACCGTTAATAATTAGTCACACCATCCTTCAGAAGAGTAGCTTTTTACAAGAAATTCCACACAAATACTGTTCGTCTGCTTTGTTTGATAATTTAGAGAATTTTGTTGTCATGCCTTGGTAACCACTCGATTTTAGACTGAGAACCTCAACGATGCGCGGTCACCCACGGACGTTATGGGGCCTTGGACGAGTTTCTTTCTCAGAGGAAACAGAGCCCGAAATTGCGGAAATAAACGCTCAGAGCAAAACGTTTTAGGCTCCATGTTATATGTGCAATACAAAGAACGGGTTTTGTCCGGTAACTCGTTTTAGCACGCAAACTTACAGATGCGAACAGTGGTCGGTTGAAACAAACAATCTCATTAGCTAAAGGCAAGTATGCTGCATCGGAGTGGGTATTACAATATATTTTGGCTTAATCAACTAATTTCATAATGTAAATTGGCTACCGTCAAGAATTTCTTAACCCGACGTTTTTGAACGTTAGCCCTTCGTCAGAGTGAAATCAAGAGGGGCGAACGCTCGAAACGTTAGCTTTAAGAAACTCTTAACGGTGGCCAATCTACATTATCGACTCAGCTGATAAAACCAAATTGAATTATCTTAGCGAAGTAGAAAACGTTTGAGACTCGACACTTTGATCCAAAGATAGGTTCTTTTTTCCTCTGTTGTTGTTTTCTTGTTTAAGTTTCTTTTCTTTTCTTTTCTTTCTTTTTTTATGTTTGCTTTACTTAGTTTTTCTTTTTTGTCTCAAGGAAATACCAGATTAAAGGTAGTAATAATTAATAAGCTAACGACCCACTTGAAATTTCTGCACTGCGATAAAAAGATATTGATACCTTAAATAAAACCACTGACGCAAAATCGATAGACTGTTTGTCTTAGTCAACTATCGATAACGGGCAAAAATAAACATCCCTAAGATAAACAAATAAACAAAACAAACAATCAAACAAACTACAAAACAAACCAGATATGAGACGGATATAACCAAATTTAAATATTTTTTTATTAGAGATATTTTAAAGGAAATTTAAGGAGGCAAATACATTTTCCAGTTTGTTTTATGAATTTTTTTTTCTTTTCACATAACGGGAATAAACATATCTTATAAATAATATTAACAAAAACCTTAGCCAGCCAAAGAGCTTCTGTCAGGATAGGTAATACTTGAAAGTTTGACAAAGTGTTAACTTAACATCTATCGACGACAAAAAACCACAACACTACGATTCAGATATTTTTCTTGCGACTTGAGAATTAACTCAACCTAGAAGTCAAGAATTGAGTAAATAAATGAGAATTCTTCATTCAATTTTAAAATAAATTAATATTTTCCATAAAACCATATTTCTCGCCTGTAAATGAATTTTGAAAACATTCTAAATTACTCGAAACCGATGCACAATTAGACAAAACCAAGTAATGTCTAAGACATCACAACAAAATATTCAATTAACATGTAGTGTGCTATGCGATGTCAATCTCGTCTTCAGAGCCTGCTTATCTTTTGGCCAGCACCGAGAGTGCAATCTAACACATGACCAAAAGGGACCAACGAGAACGCGAATAAAGTATATTGCTAAATTATTGAGAGCGCATGCCCCTTTTTGCTCTGTGTATTTCCAATTTTTTTCGCCTCACACGCTAAACGGCGCATTAAAATCAGAGGCAGCAAGTAATGATATTTACAAGTTATCTGTGATTTGATCACAAAAGAAGAAGAAAGCATTTCCACTATACGCAACGCACACGACGCTGGTAAGCGTCCATTTCATTCATTATTTAGCTTGATCTTCTTAAGGGGAGGAGTGTCAACCGATAGAGTACTTGCAGTAGGAGACATAATGTTAGTTGGGAGCTCCTGTTGACATCTGGTGGTGCTTTGGTAATGCGTCATAAATGGTGACGCCACTTCCCAGATCTGCAAGTGGAAAAGACAAAAAGTCAGTTTTACATGCCACGGAAGGTTCTCTTTACCATTTAGTGGACGACGCTTCTAGTCATAGCTACACCCTTGTAAATACCTTTCGGAGACATATGAAATTCGAAGGGGAAATGGTATACAGCATATGAGGATCATATTACAGCCGTGAATTCAGTGTCAGTAACACGTTTTAGTCGATCCGATCAACTTCGCTCAGCACACTGTTCGAATACAATACCGTATGAGAAATCCTTACAAACAAGCAAGTGTCCTTGTCTGTAACTTTGAAAATTGCCACAATATCCGTAATGGTTCCGTGATGTTCTATTCATTCGATATGAATCTAGTTAAATGATCCTCATTCGAAAAATAAAGGCGAAAATATCAAGCGATAAAAACACATGTGCGCCGAGGTTTGACCTAGTGTCGAATGACAAACCCTCGGCAGAGACTAGGCCTAGTGCCAGGAAACCTAACATTTACAGCACATGAGGACCATCTCTTATTCATGGTCAATGATAGTTTTTTTTTCTTTTTTTTTGAGGAAAAACAACAACAACAAAAAACAAACGAACTAATTAACCTACCAAAAACAAACGCACGAAAAAATGATCAAACTATGTGCGATGTTTGATTCGGGCTTTGCCCTTATCAACAATCTCGCAATAGAAATCTAAAGCCCATAATCTAATTGTTAAGTAGAGAAGCGTTGTCAAGAAGATTTTGATAGGACACTGGTGGATGCATACCAACTGCTTTCATCCTTGAGTCAATCACTGAGTCACCATAGAGCCTGTTTGTTTTCAGTCTGCTCTAGAATAAACTTTTGCACATACCTTTCCTTTCTTCACAAGCTTCAACACAGCCTCTATGTCGGGCGCCATGAAACGGTCTTTGTCCCACGGCCTGAAAAAAAGAAAAAAATTGTTTACCTGGAGAATGGTGTAGAGATGTCGTGGGAAACTTCAACCAATCGTGACTTAAATTGTTGGCTTTTGCCATTGACACGTAGCTTAAGTATTTCACTTTGTTCTAATTTAACGTTGTAATTATTTTCTTTTTGGTCTCAGGATTCAAGGTAGAGATGCACTTTAAAGTAAATTGAATAAAACTTACTTTACAACTTTCCGAACCAATGAGTGAACAGCTTCTAATGGTTCTGTTGTCTTCAATGGCCGCAAAAACTCGATTCCTTGACAAGCCGCTAACAATTCAATAGCAAGGACTGAAAAAAGCAAAAAACAGCAACAATGGCAGGGTTTATCAAAATAATACTAATAATAATAATAATCTTAATAATCTCAAACACTTTCATTTCGATATGCGATGCTCTACCAATTATGGCTGCTGACAGCACGTAAAATTTATAGCGCTTCAAATTTTACTAGAAGCGGAGGAAACCAAGACACGCACTTTACCACTTTTTTCGCGGATTGTGATCCTTTTTCTTTTCAATCATTAATCAAATTTATTTTTTATGTCAATACAGGCCCATAGTGTTTGTATACTAAATAGAACAAAATGTATCTTCTTTCCCTTCTCAAGTTCAACTCAAAGGGCTTTTTCCAAAGTTACGAGTGCCCGTTGATTATTCTTTAGTTCATTTATTATGTAAGGATCGAAGACGTGGTTGTTTGTGCAACATTCTGCATTTGGGAAAACATTCCCTTCGCTTTTCAGCAAACACAATATCACAGCTGCCACTACGTTAATATCGCTATGCCATGCATGGCGATCAGCGGTTTCCTTTCTCTCGAAATGCATTGTGCGAGACATCCACAACATTCACACCTTTTTCAACATTTTTAACCACGTTAAGAGATTTTCTGGCGGAAAATCCTCCCATAGACACGTGATCCTCTTGGGCAGCAGATGTGGACAACGAATCAACTGAGGAAGGGTGGCAAAGGACTTTATTCTCTGAAACTAAAAGGACTCAGAAGTCAACCAAATAAAAATATATATATATATATTTATAAAAAAACAAAGTTATCATTAAACTTGTTTAGAAACATATCTCCTACCTAAAGATGCAGCCGTACAGTGTGCCATCATGAAACCTAAGGGGGGTAAATCAAAAATTGAACACACAGTAAGACTAATGATATTACTGGTAGTGATACTAACATTGATAATAATAGCCATAACACTAATACTAATAACAATAATAATGATAACGATATTGATAATAATAGTAATGACGGTGATAATGACAATGATGATACAATAAACTTATGGCGAAAAAACTTTCTCTGTGGCTGCCCGACACTATGGAATAG